GCGAGCTGGTCCTTGCCCCTCACCTTTGCCCGGTTTTATAAACTGGATGCGTCTGCTCAGAGTGTGGCGCGTGCAGTGCTGAGCACAGGGCCCTCGCTGGAACAGAGTGCTGCTTCCTGAGAGTCGGTGGTTGTTGAGATAAGCTTGTCTGGCGATTCCGGAGTCTCCATATCCCATAGTGAGACATCGAAACAAATGCTATGAATGAGAACTTTAGGTTACTTGCGTAACCCTGGTTCTCAGAGTAGCATGAGTGAGATGTCTCACCAGACAGCCCTTCTTGCTGGAGCGAAGCGAGAAGAGGTGCTTATTTTGAATGGTGTCTGCGTTGTAGCGTAAGCTATTTAAGGGTAAGTGGCTCCACTAGACGCAGACACCATGATCACCAGCCAATCAGGATTGGCATAATGAGATAAATGCTTCTGAGGAATACGTGGGGAGGTGCATCCCATAGTGAGACATGTCACTCATTCTACTCTGAGAACCGGGATTACGCAAGTAACCTGAAGTTCTATTGCGCCCGTTGCTTCTAGCTGATTCCCTGTCTATTTGTATTCAGAGCAGCTTTACCTTGACAGACAGCACAGCTCCTCCTTTAGGTGTGAAGGAGTTCAACAGAGCCAGCAGGTCTTTGGCTTTCATCCGGTCCCAGTCCATGTTGCAGACGGCAAGTCGGGCAGAAACCTGAGACACATTCAGAAACCACAAACACAGTTAAAATGTTTCCCGGTCAGGCGAACAGTCCTTCCTGACCCACCAGACGCCACCTCACCTCGTCACTTCGTGGGGCGTCTTTGCACAACTCTCCCCAGTCATGTTCGATCTCCTCTTCCTCCTTCCTCAGGATGGCGTCCACGTCGTCATCGTCGTCTTCATCTGAGCTGGACTCTATGTTACCCTTCCCTCTGGCCAGATCCGGCCCACTGTCACTGTCCTCTTCTGAATCCAGACCGGACTCCTCCTCGTCTGATCCACTCGTCACATCACTTTCCTCTCCTGCATCATCATCATCTTCATCCTCCTCACTGCTGTCTGTGACACTGTCTGCCAGGTCAACATCCTCCTCCTCTGCTTTATTCAGCTCCTGATCATCTTCCTCATCTGAGGAAAATAATAAAAAGCAACAGACTTTTACCTAATGTGCAACACAAGAAAATTTCCTCTCCAGATAAAATTGAGACATTTCACTAATCAAAACAAACACCATATCGAAACCCTTGCACACAAATGTATCGTTGGTCAGAAACAAACGTTTGTGAAACAAAAAGCCGCCACCATTTGCGATCTTTGTGTAATGAACGCTCACAGAAATGAGCCCAAAAATAAAATCTCAGTTTGGGTCATAATCTGTCAACAACTCATCTGACCACTAACTTCCGACAAATACTTGTTTTTCAGAAGCTTGTGGATATTTGTGCCAGCAGGCGTTTCATTTGAAAATGTATTTGACTTTAACTTTAAACTGGAAAAACTTCCCATGCATTTATCTTCAGGAGACTCGCCCATTTTATCTTTACAGGTCTCCCCTGCAGCTGATTCAGAACACTCCAACATAGTGGATCACATCACTCCAGTTCTGAGGTCTTTACACTGGCTTCCTGTCTGTCAAAATACTGCCATTGGTTTATAAAGCATCAGTGAACGTGAGAATCAGAAACATCTATTTTATTTACTTTATTAACGCAGCTTTTCAAATCGATCAAATCCAACGTGGTACTGAATGACACCTGCACTCATGTGTTCACTGTTGCTTTACCTGGTCCGTGTTTGTAACATATCCACTAGTTATGGGTCGATTAATCGATTAATTGACTTATTAAAATGAAAGTACGTTTGATAAAAGGCCCAGTGCGTTAAGTGTACGTGTGCTTTGCTAAGATATGCTACAATACAGAAATAACACAGAACACTTTCAGTTTGTCCAAGTAATCTAGAACAGATTTAAACTACATTTAAGTTCAAACTTCAGGAACGCAACATGTTTCTAAATTAGATTCAACTCTGCAAAAGCAAAATGAGAACTGATTCAGTTGGTGGAGCTGAAGACATGAAAGCAACCCGACATGTAGGACTGGTTTCAGTGTATCAGAAACTCACCCTCTTCGACAACTCTGACACCTCGTTCAGGCTGCTCTGCTTTAGCTTTCCCTTTCTTCGCCTCTCCGTCAGCTTTCACCAGTTTCTCCTTCACCGCTTTCTTCCTCTTGCCTGCCGTCTTGCTCTTCCCATCCTCCTCATCATCTTCGTCCTCTGAGTCGGACAGTTTGTAGAAGCGCTTCAGGTCCTCAGCAGTGGTGTGGTTGATGGGACGACCCCGTTTGTCCACCGTGTATTTCACCTTGAAGCGCTCGTCGTGAAACATGGACTGGAAACGCTTGTCGATCTTGACTTTGCGTTCTCTCTCTGGCATTTCCCAGAATCTGGGGTCCTTCTGCACCCGGAGGAAGCGCTCATCGCTGTCCTGTTTCTTTTTGGACGTCATGGTGTCTGTCACCTGTTAAATACAAACAGGACAAATTGTCAGGTAACATGGACACAAAGCACTAAGTATCTTTCTCATCTTGTGTCTCTTTATACTGAATAATGACCTGACCCTGGACTTTTATCAGCCTCTAGTTGACTTTGACTTGATGTAAACTCATCACTAGAGACAATTTGATTAAATATCAACTATTAAATTAAATCCAAATTCTCTGATTTCAGCTTCTCAAATGTGAACATTTTCTGGTTTCTTTTCTCTTTAATCACAGTAAACTTAAAATCTTTGGGCTCGATGAATACATTTATAGTCAAAACACTTATTTTCCATGATTTTCTGGCGCTAACAACTAATCAATTAATCGATAATGAAAATAATTTTGTTGCAGCCCTACACTAAACTACCTGACAAGACAGGCAAGCTTGTGTCTCTATAACATTTAACATTTGAGAAATATATTTTACGTAAAGAAAAACAAATGCATATTTCTCATATAGGTTGCGACCCTGTTCGCAGGATAAGCGGTTGATGATGGATGGATGGATATAGGTTATTCCACAAAGTTTTCTTTTGGGGGTTTTGGTAGCTAAAATCATGAATCAAATCGTCACCAGAATGAAAACATTTTTTAAAATACACCGTAACCCTTGATAAACAAGTTTGTGGTTTCAAGTCGCCTATAAAGCACAGATTTAATATAGTTATTTATGAACTGAGTATTTAGACTTTTTATCTGAAAAAATTAAGCAGTTTTACTTACTGTCAAAGCCAATTAAAGATCTACCGTTTTAAACAGACTTTTATTTATTGTCTTTTATTTAACTATTTTATTTTCCCCTTAATTTATTGTTCTAGTTTAGTATTTTTTGTTAGTATTTTTAAGTGGTGGCATCATTCATTCATCATTATCTTTCTTTTTAAAAGTTGAAGCATTTTGGCCTTTGTATGAAATGTGATTACAAATAAAGACTGATTGATTGATACAGTCGTATCTGTCTTATGACTTCTGGCTTTTTCTTTTTACCTGTTAGAAACTAAATAATCACTTGAAATCATAATAGAGTTCTTAGATGCAGATTCGGCTCTGGACCTCGCACCTGTAACGTTTAATGGCTTGTAACGTCACTCCTCGGGCACCAAGTGAGCATCTAATGGACGACAGAGTTCAGTCTTCAGGGGTGCAAACAGCTGCTGAAACAGAGTTTAGCCCTGAAGTCTGGACTTTTGTTTTAAACACCTGTTGAAAGTCAGAAAGGTGTCTCACACTGTTCTGTGGTTCAGCTAGCGTTAGCTTAGCACCGCGCTAACATGTAAACAAAATGCCCGAACGGTGAAGACAGGCCGTAACGGCGGGAAACCAGACAGCAGATAACACTTCACAACACCGCGCATGTGCCTGTAAAAATATATGATTAATTCAAGTTTTAAAAAGAAGAAAAATCCCAAAACTTTACTGAAATCTCTCTGCTCTTCTGCTGCTACACGTGTTTTCCCAGCATGCACCTCTCCTGTGACCTCTCTCTTCCCGCCCCTTTCCTGGTAAGGGAAGCGAAGTGGGACAAACGAAAAAAAACGCGCATCGTAGAACCCCCAAAAATGACCTTTTTTCTCTAGCTATTCTACCAAGACAATATAATTACACGTTTAACATTTATTTCATATTGTTGTAAAGATTTTGTAGATGTTAAGACCAAATATCTCCACTAATATTCTAATAAAGGAAACAACTCTTTTAATTTTATGTTTTTATCATAGACTGTATTTATAAATGTAGCTGCAATTACAGTCACATCAAAGCACTGCTTGAACAAACTACTGTAGTCTAAGTAGTCTTTAATAAAAGTCTAATCAACCATAATTGTCAGTTAGACAAATAATACATGATTAATATTTAACTTAATTTAATACCCTAGTAAAGTCACTCAGCTTTGTAACTTTATTAATGTTATTTTATGATGAAACAATTAATATATTAGTTATTGATTCCATGAAGCAATTAATTGCTAAAGTACTTTGTGGAACAAAAATGTCAAAACATTTTCTTTTTCTACCTTTTTCAATGTGATTTATTTGCATTTCTCTATATTATATAATCGTAAATGGACTGTTTTTATATTTTGGACTTCAATATTTTTAGGTTTTCAATTTATATAATCTTCAATATAATGTTTTCAGGTTTTGGACATTTATGGTCTTAAATGAAATATTTTAGGCTTTGGGTCAAGGCAAGATATTAAGTAAACTGAACTCTGGGAAATTTGGGTGAACATGTTTCACTATTTTCATACATTTGATGTGACTAAACATTTAATCCCATAGTTTGATAAATAATCATTAGAATAGTTAAAGAAGAAAATGATCCGTAGTTACAGCTCTACTTTTATTAGTACTAGTATTAATGGTAGTAGATGCAGCTGCAGTGAGGTTTGAATTTTCAGCCCGCTCCCAGACTGTGATCCAGTTCCATTGTTTTCAATGAGCCCAGTAGAGTCCAGCTCCAGGTTTTCCCTCCTCCTCCTCCTTGAGGTCATTCAGCGTGGAGGGCAGGAAGAAGTCAGCTCAGTGCTGTTTGGAGGCTCTCTGCTTTAATCCGGAGCTGGTTTGGACACCGAAGCCGCAGCATGAGCAGCCTGAGGGTCCTGCAGAGACTGCAGACCACCGGCTCTGCTCCTCCTGCAGCCTCCTCTGGCAGCTGGAGCTGGATCGTGTCCTCCTGCTGCAGACTCCGGACCGGGCCCGGGTCTGAGCCCCGTAGAGGGCTGTCGGTGTCCGGCAGGGGAACCATGAATGTGTTCAACAGGGAGATGAAGAAGAGGCAGAAGAACTGGGCAGCATGTCTGCAGGACGGACACCAGTACGACTACCTGAGGGACGAGGTACGAGCTGAAACTATCTGCATGTACAAGTACACTTGTTGGTACTTCACTTGAGTCTTCCACTTACTAATCCACCACATCTCAGGTGGAAATATTGTACTTTATTATACTCCATTTATCTAACTAGCTTTAGTTACAAGGTAGTTAACAAATTAATTAAAATGTATTTCAGGTTATAACATCTGATGTTTTGTTTTTAATTAAACTCTCCAGTAGTCTTTACAAGTTTATCTGAAACGACTAATCTTTGTTATATTTGTTTGGATTAAACTTAATTTCTTCATAATTTTCTGTGTTGTTCAACAAAATAAAAATGAATAACAAAACTGAATATTTTTACTCTAAATTCAATATCTACATCTAATACTATAGATATTTTCACTCATCATCATTTCACTGAAGTTTTTATTGATTTTGTTTGCATAAATTGATCATTGCCAGTGATTCTTTTGGGAAAAAAGTGGTGTCGGGCCTCATAGAGAAAAGATCATCATTTCATTTTCATTTTTGTAATTTAAAATAAGTTAATCTTTTTTACACACCTGATGGTAAGAAAGGCTAAGATGTCATGTAAAGCAAGATCAACTGGAGCTACCTATGCACATTAAAGCATTGTTTGATTCTTATTGGCTAAATTATCAGCCAAAGTTTCATTTTCCAGTAAGATCCCTGTTTTCTACTTAAACCATAAGTCTTTTATATTTTTGTTGTGTTGAATTGCAGGTTGGCAGTCGAGTGGCAGATCGCGTCTACGACATTGCGAGGTGAGTTTAACGACGAGACAGTTTCTTCTCCAACACACAGGTTTCTTATCTAATGTTGTTCCCTCTTCCCGTCCTCTCAGGACGTTTCCTCTGGCGTTGGACATTGGCGGTGGAAAAAGTCACATTGCAGAGCATCTAAGTAAGGTACAGTCTGTCCATCTGGATCAGAGGTGACCTACATGTTAGTTTTAGCTGTAAAACGTTTCTCAGTGGCCCAAATAATGTCAGTGCCGAGTTAAATACAAAATGATCTACACTTAACCATGACTAACTCTTGGTTTTTGCTTGTTGCTATTTCAGGATATTGTGGAGCGTTTGTTCCTGACAGACGTCTCAGAGAAAACTCTGGTGAGTGTTTAAAGATATCATAAAAACTATCACGCATCAGCCATATTATTATGACCAAAGAGGCCATCAGGGAATACCATCCCCATTAAAGGGTGTACTTGGTCCACAGCAATGCTTAGGTAGGTGCTACATGTCAAAGTAACATCCACATGAATGGCAGGACCCTTCCAGTGGTGCACCCTGGCACCAAGTGTTCCCCAGGTAAGTGACGCACACGCACCCGGCCATTCACGTGATGTCAAAGAAAGCGTGATCCATCAGACCAGGACACCTTCGTCCATCTCTCTGTGGTCCAGTTTGATGCTCATGAGCCCAATGGAGGAGCTTTCAGCAGTGGACAGGGCTCAGGGGTTCTGACACCTTTCTATCAGAACCAGCATCAACGTTGTCAGCAGTTTGACCTACAGTAGTTCGTCTGTTGGATCGCACCACACGGGCCAGCCTTCACTCCCCACGTGCTTCAATGAAACCATACAGCCAGCGTCGCCAGACAAATGGCCAAATAGGTCATTATCACGACCCATGTTTACGTTTTAGCGACCCCTAGTGGCCGTACGACGGTAGCAATGGAGGAAGTCAGAAGACATATTATAAATCACGACAAAGTCCGCGTAAGGGGCAGGATGGGGTGGTTAAACAGGTCAACCCCAGGACCGTCATACAATAGAACGGCGTTTGAGTCACATGGGTTATATTAAGTTTCACGCTAAGTTAGATAGCGTTTGTTCGTTTAGTTCGTGCGTTGCTGCCGTGCTGTTTCCTTGTCACGTAAAAATAATAAAAACTAAAATAATAAACTTTAAATAGTTTGAACTTAAAGTAGGATACTGTATGTCAATTCCTTTAGTATCCTAACAAAAAAATAAACAACTCTCCAACAATAAACTCTGAACCAAAGTCAGTCTTCATAAAATCAAAATCATGATTATACGCCATGTTTCACAGTCAAAATCCATGTACCTTGCTGTACACCACGTCTGAATTAATTACCTTCTGTCCACTAGTGGCAGTACATAGCGCCACCCCATGCCAATATACAGAATGGCTCCATCAGACGCTGTACTGATTTCAGTCACGGGTCTCCGTAACTTTACTTAGTTTATGATCTTTTCCTTAAACCTAGCCAAGTCATTAAAACTACAATACCACAATACTATAGTACAATACTACCATAAACTAACCAAACTACACCCCTTTTTTCACAATGTTTTCCACAAATTAAGCTTCACATGACTTAAGGCCCCGGGACTTGCAGAACATTTGGTAAGCCGGTGCTGATATGGAAGTGCTCATATGTGTCGTTTTGGAAATGGCATGTTGGCCCATGACCCCTGTTCACTGCAGACCTGTTTGGAGGTGCTCTGACCCAGTTGTCTAGCCATCGCAGTTTGTTCCTTGTCCTGCTTCAAACACATCAACTATGAAGACACCAATGTTCACTAACTGGTGCCATGAAAACAAGATTCTCAATGTTAGTCACGCCACCCGTCAGAGGTCATAATGTTATGGCTGATCGCTGTTTCCATGCATGTGCCATAGATCTGCAGGTTCTCTGTGAGCAACTCATCCTGACAGCCCTCGTGTGGAATTGTTATGCGATCATATTCTAGTCATTCTGATGGCATTCGTTTTTGTTTGTTAAAAGATGAATGAACTGGTCACTTACAATCATTTATTAAGAACTCATGACACAGTAAATATTAACGTCTGTTTTACTTACTTGTACTGATACATGATGCTAATAAACCTTTTTTTGTTTTTGGCTCTAATCTTCAGAGGCAGAGGAGAAAGAGTGAGATCCTGACTCACTGCGTTCTAGCTGACGAGGAGTTTCTGCCGTTTAAAGATAACACCTTCGACCTGGTGGTCAGCAGCTTGAGGTGATTATTATATTACATATAATTTATTAAAGGTGGTTCAGGTTTTCTAAATCTATGGGGACACTTACCATTTTTCTACCAGAAGATGGTGCTAAAGACTTCAACGAGCCTTTTCATAAATGTTCCACAAAATTCAGTGATTCAGTAATTATATTTTTCTGCTAAACATCAAAACGGCCAAAGTTTCCAGAGCCCACGTGAACGTCCAGCTCCTTTCTTTGCAACTGTTAAAAACTAAATCTAAATCACTAAATCCATACCATCACTGTGTCACATTTGTTCTATTGAACACCCTGATATAACTTATAATCGTCCCGCTCTAATGGTGGTACTTGTAGTACTAGTAGTATTGGGTATGCCACACAAGCAATAGTCCTTGCTGTGTGAAGAGCTGCAGCTCCTTCACTGTGATCAGAAAGACAAAAACAGATGCATCCACACTCACTTAAACTGCAGAAAACTGAAGAAGGGAAGTTGTTCTACGTCTCCGTGCTGTGGAATCTTCCCCAAAGCATTTAAACCCACATTTTAAGGTGTTGATGTCTAAAGTGTGTATTTAATCCCACATTTTGTTCTCTTCTTTCAGTCTGCACTGGATCAATGACCTGCCTGGAGCCCTCAGACAGGTGATTGTTGTCGTTTGATGATCTCCTACTAGAGGTCGTAGTTTTGTCCCTTGTGAAATGAAGTCAGGATAAATGCCAATTTAAACTTCTGCATCGAATCTGCGCCGCATCCTGCGCCGTAGCCCGATGCGGACCTCCCTGAAAATGTAACTACAACTGCAATTTTCAAATTCACTTCTCTCGTTTCCGGGTTCAAGAACAAGAAGAAACCCAACACAATGCAGAAGGCTACGTGCCATCGTGAGCATTTATACTTGGGCATTTTCCCATCAGTCTTTCTGATGATAGTTAGAATCTATAAAGTTCAGCTGAGCTGCTAACAAGAGTTAACTCACCTTTAATACCAGAAGAGATGAGCGGTTTACATTCAGCAACTCGTCATTCTCCTCCTCCTCTTCTCAGATCCACCAGGTGCTGAAGCCGGACGGGGTGTTCATCGGGGCCATGGTGGGCGGGGAGACCCTGTACGAGCTGCGGTGTTCCCTTCAGCTCGCCGAGACCGAGAGGGAGGGAGGCTTCTCCCCCCACGTCTCCCCATACACCGCCGTCACCGACCTGGGCAACCTGCTGGGCCAGGCCGGCTTCACTATGCTCACTGTGGTGAGACACACAGCAACACAAACTCTGTCAGAGCCTGTTAGGCTCCAGGACCAGGTCACACTTCTCTGAAAGCTTCTTCTGAGGTCCCTCCTTCTGACAAATTATTAAAAAAATTACAAAAAAACAATATATCAAACACTTCTCACAGAGACACATTCATTAACCAGTGCCATGCAAACAAGTACCAATTAAACAAATAATTAGAAATAAGATGAACATCATACAATTACAAACCATTTATAATAATATTTACACATTCAACTATAGAAGAAAGGTCCGTATTTAATCTGAATTACTGACGAAAATAGTTTGTGAAATAAATATACTGCAGAGACTAAAACTAAATAAACTATCCTAAATATTGTAAACAGTGTTTATGCCAAATAATTAACAGCAGTAAAATATGCAACAAACAAAACTTCATTTAAAAGCCTGTCTCTTTTACTGGCCTGGTGTGGCCACATATTTTGACTAATAAACGCAGGTCTCAATTAGAAGCCTGGTCTGGTCTTTAGATGTGTCTTTAGAAGTGTTTCAACTTTTGTCAATATGGACATGATACACATCGTTAGATCAGTTAGATTCTCCACAATTCAATTGTAAAGTTCATGTAATGGAAACAATAAACACCATTGTATTATTCTTTCAGATTTAGTGGCATGTTAAAGGAATTTAAAGCCTGTCCCAAATATGTAGGCAGGATGAGTTCAGTTATTTAAGGAAATAAAAGCCCAGGCTATTAATTGAAGTTTTTTGGTGATTAAAATTATCTAAACTTAAACTACAGGTACATTTTAAAGAAGGAAACGTGAAATAAAAACAGTTTATGTTGAACACCTGAACGGGTCTCCTTGAGTCTAACATGTTTAAAGTCATCAGACTCGACTCATCTGTCACTTCCTGTCTTTCTGTTTCAGGACATTGACGATGTTCAGGTTCATTATCCAGGAATCACTGAAGTCATGACTGACTTACAAGGTATAAACTACTCTGTGTTCATATGTGACTGTTCTTTAATCAGTTTTATTTCAGTTTGCAGCTTCAAGGTGTGAAACTACCCACATTGTCATTTCTGAGCAGTGTTGTAACTTTTAATTGCTCTACATTGAAATGTGTTGCATTACAATCTATTAACTTACCATAAATCTAAATAGCATTTAGGCGTCTGACATCTTTTATTCTACATGAACTTTTATTTCCACGTTCTGCAGGTATGGGTGAGAGTAACTGCGCTTGGAACAGGAGATCAATGTTGCACAGAGACACCATCTTAGCAGCAGCAGCTATTTATAAAGGTAAGTCTTTTAAAGTAGAGAGTGATCAGCTGCTATACGTCACGTACAGATAAAAAAAAAATCACACACGTCCCCCAGTGGCTCTGCAAATCCAGCAGGAAGATTTGTGTTTCTAAAGCAAATCCGTAACCCCGACTTCATGAAGAGGACGTAACAAAAAGCCATGGCAGCACATATTTTAAACGGTAAACCATCAACTAAAAGGCAACATAAAGTATATTTGCCTGTAATGAATTAAAATACTGCACGCTGTCATAGAGTTTAAGCTTGTTCTGTATGTGAATTGGTGTCAACATATGTGTTTTAGGTAGCTGGTAGGGTAATCTGTTGACTCTTGTCTTGATTAATCGATTAATTATCTGGAAAAATGCCGATCAGTGTTTCCCAAAAGCCTCAGTTGAATTCCTCAAATGTCTTCTTTTGTCCACAATCCAAATATATTCTGTTTACTGTCGTAAAGGAGCAAAGAAACCAGAAAATATTCAGATTTGAGAAGCTGGAATCAGAGAATGTCTAATGTCTAATTGATTAATCGACAAGTCATTGCAGCTCAAGTAGCTGGTTACAGTAGATACTCCCTGAATGTCATCTTCTCTGCAGGTTATTCAGGAAAATGTAAAGAAACATTAACTGACTTTTACAGATTACCAACCAGTGTAGCTACACAGGAACACAGTTAGTGAGTAACGTATATTTACTCATCTCACTCATCTTTTTAATTAACACCAAGGACACTGCAGAGGGTTTAAGCGTGTGTACGCTTGACAAAGAAACATCACTTTGTCACGGTCAGCCATGTTTTTCGTTTATGTTTGGCGTCACGCACCTGGAATACTTTGAGATTTCAGGAAATCCCGACTCTCCAACTGCGAATGGAACGCAGCAGAAGATTAGCTCAGTCTCGTCAGATAACTAAAACTGTTATTTTTACATTTATGCATCGATTATTATTATTTATTAAGACATAAAAAGACCCAAAACAACAAGTCCTGTGTGTCTCACAGCCTGATGTCTCCTCTTCCTCTGAGCCATAGAAACTATTAAAGCCCATCAGTGAGCCTCATGTCCCTTCATCACCATGAACACACACTGTAGTTTATTTTAACAGTCCCACATACACCATCCTGCTGCCCCATATACTCACTACAGTCCCCAACAATTGCACTATTTCCTCCTGTTTGTTTGATTAAAACAACAGCGAGCAGCTGTTTTAAAAAATGGCAGCCTTTTTAAACATGAGACTAGGTATTTGTGTTTTTAAAGATTAACATCCTCAGTAGGAATCAATGGGCTTTGAGCTGAGAGCCACAGACAAACATATTTGCTCATACCAACGTGGTTTACTCCTTGTTTTGGTGTAACAGCTTCTGTTTTCTCTGTGTTCGTTTTTTCCACTGTGGGTGAGGTTTCCTTTATTAAACCTGACCTGGTGCCTTCTGTTCATCATTATCCACACTGACACATCAGATCAGCCTTAAATAGACACATTTCTGTCAGAGTTTGTTTTAACTTCCTCTTTCTGAGACACATGCTGCGGTCCTAACACACAAACAACAGTTCAGAAAGTGTTTTCTTTAAAGTAACCATTACTTGGTTAACATGCAAAGTGGAACAACACTGAATTCTCTTTATGGGAAAAGCTGGTAAAGAAACATGAAGCTTTCTTCACTTTGTTTTCTTTCTTTGCAGAGAATAGACATTACTTTATTGATCCCACACTGGGGAAAATCACTTGTGACACCAGCTGCAGATACACAGAACAGACAGAAAAATGCACATTAGATTAAAAAAAAGACTTGAAAAATACAATATATAGTAGAAATAGAAAAATAAGAATTTACACTATATACAGATGAAATTGATATGAACATTGCAGAGGTCGCAGCAGGAGGTAGTGGCACGGTGTGGAAAATAAATAAATAAATAAATATGATTGTACAGGACAAAAATATGTTCAGCAGTATAGCTTAGTGTAAATAATAAAAAATGTATTATATAAATTATATATACACACACACACACACTTACCTGTGAACTGAAACTTGCTATCTGACGCATACTTGTTGCCAAACTCTTCCTGTAAGTGCACTTTGATGGCTCACTGGGTGCTGGTGTTTTGCTATATCACTGTATGTCTGTGTTTCAGAGATGTACGGTAACGAGGACGGGTCCATCCCTGCCACCTTCGACATCCTCTACATGATTGGCTGGAAGCCTCACGAGTCACAGGTGAGACAGATACTGCCGGTTTAACACAGTGGTAGTGTTGTAGTCAAGACGGCCCAAACAGAGACCAAGTCAAGACCAAGACCAGAGTTTATTAAGACCAAGACAAGACCAAGACTTTTAGGGGCTGAGACCGAGCCGAGACCGAGCCGAGACCAAGACCAATTCCCCACATTACATGACGCACAATAAAATGCGGAAAGAGATCATCAGGTACTTCCTCAAATTGATCTGAAAGATCCACATTCCCATTAAATCACCCACATACAAACAATAAGAGCTGAAATCAACGTAAGCATCTTTATTCAACACTCCCTTTCCATGCTTACCATCACGGGGTGGGGGGACAGTCGTTAATGGCAACACATTTTTAATTAGGGTTACTGGTTGCATTTGAAGCAATATGTTTTACATCCAATCAAAATTAGGATGTTAACAAATAAATCAGACAATGCAAAAGCAATTTATTGATATTCCCAAAGTTATGGTCTTGAAATAAAATCCTGAGTCCTCAATGCCTGAGACCGAGACAAGACCGAGTACAAATGTGGTCGAGTCCGAGACAAGACCAAGACCATCAAACGTCTTAAGACCATTCGAGATCAAGACTGGTCTCGAGTACTACAACACTACACGGTGGAACTCCTCCAGGTTCTTGTTTGTTTTATATTTTCAATTCTTGGTCCAAACTGCTGTGTTCAACAGAGGGTGCTTTCACATCTGTAGTTCGGTTCATTCGGTCCAGACTAAGGGCAAAAAACTATACATTGCATTTAACATGTTTTGCATTCAACATGCCTTTTTTAGCTGTTTCAGTTCCTTGTCACACCACACTGTTGGCTCTGGCCCGAAAGTTGATGAGTTAGAGCCAAAATGCTGACAACATTCACATCACACTTTGGCCAGATGTGCCTTTGAACGTGTATCCTAACCTGCCCTTTGATTGGTCAAAATTACACATGCAGAAAAATTCCAATGGAACTCCCGGAAGTAAAGAGAGGAGGAAAAGCCAGCAGGCAACGTGCTGCTTTTGCAAGTCCTGATACCTCACAACTCCAAGTTTGTCCGTGAGATGCCATGGGGCCATGTTGCTAAAGTGCAAACTGTCAACAAACACTGGTCCTCATCCCATAATGCACAGCGCAGCCCACCTCTTCAAGGCACTTTTAGTGCGCACCTAAGTGCGATTGCTGCATTCACACCTGCCCAAAAGAACTGCACCAAATGGGAACATGGACTATGGTGTGATTCAACCAAACTAAGGCTCCATCCACACTACTCCGTTGTTGTTTTAAAAAGTTTTAAAACAAATAGGATCTCCCTCCACAGCAGTGTTTTATCTGCATATCAGAGTTGATCTCTGTATATTAAAACGAATGAAAACGCACATCTAGTGGCCGTTCAGGTACACTGGGCATGCGCACGCCGCTGTAAACATGAAGCAGATGGTCTCTCTTCCGTAGTTACAGAAGATTTGGCAAAAGAATAAAGTAATGCAGACGAAGAATCATACCAGATTTTCTTTGCATTGACCAGTAACGAGCTGGGACTGTTACTGAATGTAACACTGGAGTTAAAAGTGACTGTGACGGTGGAAAACAGACTGGGAGTCGTCTCAAAGTAAACGGTGATATGCACAGTACAAGTGTAGGTTATAAGTGTTATTTACACAGTACAGGATATTTTAATAAAAATACCAAATCAAAACTATCAGTAGCACCGTGTTTTTGCCTTGCATGACCTCCGTCTATATTAAAACTGAAAATGCACATCAATTGGCCGTTCAGGTACACTGGGAATGCGTGTGCCGGTGTAAACATGAAGCAGATGGTGTGTTCAGTAGTTACAGAAGATTTGCCGAAAGACTAAATAAATACAGACGAAGCATCAGACCAGTTTATTTTATTTTATTTTATTTTTTTGCATACACCAATAACAAGCTGGGACTGTTACTGAATGTAACACAGGAGTGTGGCAGCAGAAAACGGACTGGGAGTCATCAAAGTAAACAGCTACATGCACAGTACAAGTGTAAGCAGATAAGTGTTATTTGCACGGTACATAATATAAAAATACGATGTCAAAACCCGGTCAGCAGCATCGTGTTTCTGCTTTGCAAGACCCAATCAAAGAGCCGAGCCTGAGCGGCTGCGTCATCGTTTCTAAAATCCTCCATTTTGGCCCGTCTTCACTAAAACACCCTCTGGAGTTTTGAAACGCAAAACGGGGTCGGCAGCATTTCCCAAACTTATCCGTTTTAGGTCTTCGTTTTTGTCGTTGTAGTCTGGACAGGAGGTGCAAACGTAGCAAAAGGTCTCCATTTTAATTCGAAAATGCAGTAGTGTGGATAGGGCTTTATTGCGCACCTAAGTGTGATTGCTGCATTCACACCTGCCCAGATGAACTGCACCAAGGGGTAAAATTGAACTCTGGTGTGATTCAACCAAACTAAATTAGCTAGGTGTGAAAGCCGGATTATCACACAGTTTCAGTTGCTTCTTATTCTAAACACCCGGGTAATTATTTTTCTGTTTATTCCAAATAAGCAATTTCCAGTGTACAGCACAATCAGACATCATCACTGCTGGGTTTTATCCATTAGATTCAGGAGCACAGGAGACTTTTTTTTAAATAAAACTGCTCTAATGGTTTAAATGTTTTTTTCCAGGCCAAACCAGCGAAGCGAGGCTCAGCCAACGTGTCATTTAAGGATTTGTCAAAGATTGGCCAGCCGACCACCACAACGAAGTCATAGAAGCATCTGAGCCTCTGAACAGCTGCCAACCTGCAGAGTGTAAATAATGTATTTTAGTATGTGTCAACGATGTTTTGTCACCGGTTAAAAAGAAGTCGACATGTTGTAATATTAATAAATAAAGTTGAGTAATGAAAACTGCACTGAGAGAACTTATTGTATCCTTTCGGACAAAAGCCACAGCCAATAGGTTGCTGACTTATAAATAAAAAGTTGACTCATTTATCCACATGGCTGCAAAAAATGGACAAAAACATGCTTGAAAGTGGAACTTGTTGCACGGCAGCATCAGAAATAGATGTTAGTTCAACATTTGAAGAAGACAGTTGGACAGTGACTTCATGCCAGTGGACACAACAATGCAAGCTTATGTCTCTTGGATAAAACTACTGTATCTGAAAGCCTCTGTAGTCTTGTATATGACACTAATCCCAAACTACTCTGTCTTAACACACTCATTAGTTTCACAGCTCCAGTTTAATAATAAAATCCGATGGTTAGACTTACAGTAGATCTTCGACCAAAGGCACCATTCCATGCCAAATAAGTGGGGAAAGAAATGGTGCAGTAGCTTCAGGTAGGGCAGGTAAACTAGCAGTGGGCTTCTCTTCAGCGTGGGTGGCAGAGAAAACCCCAAAGAGCTCTCTGAATGAGTTAAATACATGAAAAAAGTCCATCTTGCATGATAAAAAGGCAATAACATAGAGAAGCAGCAGGAAGCCCGCAACCACAGATCTAGACCCAGCTCCGTAGACCAGTTTTATTGCTTCTTTAATCAGCTCAACAGTTTTTATCTGTGCTACCATGTTTGCAAAAGGGTTTTCTAATGATCAGTTAGCCTTTTAAAATGATAAACTTTGATTAGCAAACTCAATGTGCCATTGGGAAACAGGGCTGATGGTCATTTTAACAAAATTAACGATGTCTAAACTGTCTTTCTGATCAATTTAATGTCATTTTAATGGACAGAAAATGCTCTTCATTCAAAAACAAGGACATTGTTAAGTGTGTCCGAACCTTTGACTGGTAAAACATTGAATTGAAATTGAAATTATTTTTAAGGACCAGTCATTTTGTGTACATCAGTCCATCTCAGTTCCATTTTCCAAAACCCACCCTGCCTTTCCAGACTGCTCCTGGCTACATTATATGAGTTTTCACTAACAGCCAGTAAGTTTCATTTCTACCCACAACCTCATTAGTCATAACTTCCTCTTAGATAGGAAGAACAGTGTGTTTTAGTCGTTTGTCACTTAACAAGGTTAACAGGCTGCAGAGATGTGGCTTTACCTCTGCTTTCTCCTCGTAGGATGCTTCTGTCACAGATTTGCTGGTAAGAAAATCTCATTTTTAAGCTTTTTATCAACATTATGTTTATAAATCTTGGGTTTTGGCCTTTTTGGCCTTTTTTTTTGGACATTTTGATACCAAAACTCGCTCATTCCAAAGATCCTACATACTAAAATTTTAAAATGATTTGCCTCAACATTCCCTTACGGTGATCATTAAAGTCTTATCTATTAAGTTGTAACATCAGTGGTCTGTTCAAATGGGCTCTCCTCATAAACACAGTAAATATTAATCTTAAAGGCACCACACTCAATCAATAGAGGTGAGTTGTTGCTGGAAGACGGTGGAAACGAGGGAAGTTACAGGACTTTATTGCCATGAAGGTGAAGTGGTTGATGTAGTTTCTGTATTTCAGCTTATTCAGTGATGATTTAGCATTTTTGCATCTTCTGTCCAGAGTATATTAAAATTTTTTGTATTTATTTGAGGTTATTTATCAGTAAGAATTTATGCACAAATAGGTTTTACCACTAGGTCTACTGCTGCCAGTCAGACATAGCCTTTCTTCACCTTCAAACAATCAGCCTGCAAATAGTTATTTTGCTCCAACAGATAAAGTTCCTGGAGCTACAATAATAATGTCACTTATTTGTAATTTTTATTTTGTTCAAAGATGTTTTTGCAGTTTACATTTGGTGTCAGCTGGGAATTCACTTTTATTGGTATTTTATCACATTTATTTGAGAACTTTTGAGTTCTAAGCACGACCAGTAAACTATCTTTCTACACGTGGTGAAGAGATGTTTATAAAACTTGAATGAAGTACAGGGTTTTATGTTTTAATTTGAGGTTTGAGACGGCAGGGGAAACGAGGAAGAGGTGTTTGTTGTGTACTTAGAGGAGCTGGCCAGAAAGCAGACAGATTTGGGCCCAACGTGTGTTATGGCAAGTCTTGTTTGGGCCAGACATGGGCCGAGATAGACTTGGGTTACGGCAAGTGTGGGCTGGACTGGCCTAAATGCTAGCATTTATTTATTTATTTATTATAACGTTACTCTGACACAACAAACTCCACTCTCCAACTTTGACTCAAGTTTCCACCATCATCTATCTGCAAGAACTCGCCTCTCATAAGATTTCAGAGTGAGAACTGTCCTTGAGGGAGACTTCAGTTTCGTGTTAAAAACAAAGAGAGGCTGAATCCCAATCTCCACCCTAAAATCTAAGCCCTGAACCCTCACAGACTTAGCTGACATCACGTGGTAAGTGCTTGAGTGAGGGAGGCTCTAAGGGTCCGAAATAGTATAAAGGGACAGCACCGCACTTTGCAACAGATGAAGTTAGGTGAACTTGACTACGGCTAAACAATTGTGGGGTGGGACTTAATAAATATTACTTGTCCTCTTGTCCTTTAATGCTGTGAAGCAAAGAACCCAATGAACTACGACCAATATTGTTTACTTTTTTCTGCCTTTTTACTTTACAGACATTCCTGTAACGACTGTGCTGCAGAACACAGTGGCCGTGCTGCCCTGTCCTCATAAGAAGGGAAATGTGGAATGGAGCCGCTATATAGGTGGTGAAAGGGTGATTCTTGTCACAATCGAAAATGGCGAAGAGAAAAAAACTAACAAATGCTATGGTTCCCAGGCAGATAATTCGCTGTTGATAACAAACGTTCAGTCTACTGATTCTGCAATGTATATGTGCAATAAAAGTCAAATATATCTGAAAGTGACAACAGATCCCAACATGGTGGGTCCCAATGCTGGAAATGCACCAGTCACACCAAGAAACGATGGACTGGGTTTTGGGTCTGTACCAGGCCTGAGGGGAGAAGCTGCAGCAGAGGAAGCAGACACAGAGAAGCAGCGATCCTCAGACCTTTGGAAAGTACCTGTTGGTGTCCTCGTGGGTGCTGCATCGGTGCTTTTAGTCTTCTTCACCCTGAGATTCTGCTCGAAAAAGAAAGCAGGGACAAACTCCAACATGGTCGAAACTGTGACTGAGGTGATTTATGAGGAGATCAAAGATGGCGAGGAGCAGCCAAGGACGGAGTCTGATGTTGAAAGTCCTTACTACTGGGCAAGCATCACTGAAACACCAAGCAGCTTGTCACCACCAAATTATAATCAGTACAGCACCATTAACAAGCTAAAGACTGGAGGACGCAGCTATGAGGAGTGTGTGTACTACTTTGCTCAAAATCCACCACAGACAGGAAACATTTAGTTCTCAGCATTGGCGCTGACTGTCTGTTTAGAAACTGTTCACACTTAACAGGCTGAATCGCAGAGTTGCACAAATTGTTTAAAAAATATATATATGTATAAAACTTGGACCTGGGTAATACATTTTTTCATGTTAAGACAAAATGATGAGATATACGCATTTATTATTTTCTCTCTCAATTAGGATTTTTTTTCATAATCTGTACTTTTTATTTGATCTCACAATTTCACATTTTAACTCGTAATTATGATTTTTTTTTACCTCAATTATCTAATTATTATTTGATTATGGGCCTTTTCACAAATTGTTTCATTCTGACAACTTAAAATGTCTTTGCTTACTTCACTGTAGTCTTGAGGCCGGTAGTTAAGAATAAAAAAATTGAGGGAATGTGATGAAGAAACAGTTCGGGCTAGGCCAGTTGAAAACCCAAAACATATTTTCGCTATTATAAAAATCTTTGTTAAAATAGACAACACAGGGTGCAAAAAACTGACTGGAGTCATTCAAAGATCGGTGCAAAAAGGGTTTTTATTCTTTTACAAGACAAAAACCTGAGTTACATTTTGGCAAGCTAAAGATGTACTAACACCATCTTTTATTATCCTCAGTTGCACTAATTTTGCCAAAAGTTTAACACATCTTTTGTGTTTCTTATGTTAATATTTACTGCATTCACTATAAAGCTTCACTGCAACACTGTTGTATATATATTTTTGGATGATCTTGTCTCAATATTCACCATTAGAACTTGTAGTTAAAAGCATAATTTCACAGCAATAAAACTTTTAAAGAGTAGAATTCTCCACTTGCACAACTTAGTGTGACGTAAATTTTTATTTTACAAACTGCACATCAACTGGCTTCCGGTCAGCGCTACAGTACCGTTAGTTTCACCGCCGATCTCGTTAAATCTTCTGATACATTAATGTTTTGGCCACTTTTCATAGTTCATGGTCATTCATTCATAGTTAGCTTTGTACATATTGTATTTACTGTCAGTTTTTGTATGTAGTGAGCCCAGGAGAAAGCAGAGACAGTAAGTTGTTATGATCATTGTTATGATCCTGCTGACACGTGATGGGTGGATGCCAGATCAACTTCTGTGGATCCCAAAGGCCAGGAACACGAGGAAGAGGAACTACTCATCCAGCAGATGTAGAGCATGTCTCTGAAAGGCATTGTACAAAAGAGGTTTATTATGTCTAGCAATTGTTTCACAGAATATCAATTACATCATACTTCTATCAACATGAAATAAGCCTACTTAATGCAAACTGTGCCATCTTATAAAGCTTCATAATGTTGCTGTATTTTCACTACATATGTTCATTTAAAATGTAGCCTTGGCCTACATTTACTGGTTAAAACCATTACATGTGGTGTAGTAATGCTACAGTAAAAACATACAGCACAGTGCAACTTTGCAAACCAGTGGAATAATAATTTCCTCATTTCTCTGCTGGGCTCTCCTTGCTCGAGTGACCCGGATAATTTTGCCAGTGGATGGTGGATGAATTTTATTGTCCTTAGAGCACCAAAGAAAAGGATCCACTCAGAGTGTGGACACATGGATCCAGACAGACGTTTGTTCTGTTCAATATCTTTGTTGTGTTTTAATATAAACCAATAAACGTACTGTATTAAAAAGAGTGTGAGGATATTTCTCAGGGTATCAGCGGCTAAACTGCTGCACAGCAGAGACAGTATGTCTGTCAGGTCTGCACAAAATTTAATTTTCTCTCTTTTCCCTCTAACCAAAAACTAACCACTAAATGAATTTAATGCAGCTGCAATTGCAGAACATGCAAAGGTGCTTAGTGGGAAATATAACATATGTACACTATGGTTTAAAAGTTTAGGGTCACTTTGAAATGTCTTTGTGTTTAAAATAAAGAAAATTTTTAAAAACAATATCAAATTGATCATAAATAGTGTACAGTGTAGACATTGTTAATGTTGTAAATGACTTTTGTTGCTGAAAACAGCGGATTTGTAATATCTACATATTTACAGTCTGTGTTCTGGGAGCATTTGTGTAAAATCGGTTCATCTCAGTCCTATTTGCCTTTCCACACGTGTACATAGCTCCTAGCTCCAGTATGAGTTCTCACTAACAGCCAGTAACAAGTGTTATTTCCACCCAAAACCTCATTAGTCATAACTTCCTCTTAGATAATAAGAAGAGTGTGTTTTAGTCCTCTGTCACTGAACAAGATTCACAGGCTGCAGAGATGTGGCTCTACCTCTGCTTTCTCCTCGTTGGATTCTTCTGTCACAGCTTTGCTGGTAAGAAAATCTCATTTGTCAGCTTTTTATCAACGCCACGTTTACAAATCAATACTCTGTTCAAAAACAAAGGGGGGTCACAGGTGTAACAGTCTGAGCCTGTTGCTGGCAGAAAGAAGCACTTTTTGTGGACGTCATTTTGGCAAAGGAATACGGTGCAGCTGGTTAAGCTGCCGGCTGAAGCATCTACCGCACGGATTCAGATCTTTTTGTACCTTGGGGAGCCAGGGTATTGTTGTAACACTTTCAGCTTCAGCGAATAACTTCCTGAATTTTTTTATCTTGAGTACCCACATTTGTTTACTACAAATGGCAAAGACATCGTGAGTTGATGTCAAATACATGGTGTTCCTTTGTTGCAACTTAACCCCATAAACGGGGTGGGCTAGAACACATGCATGATGCAAAAACAGACGCGACACCTCATGATATGCATCAAAACATAGTTATTAAAACAAAAGAATGTCTCTCTCTGTAACAGACAATGTCTGATTGACTCGTGTGTGTGTAAGTTTGTCTGCCAGACAACAAACTTAACAGTATACTAAAAAACACTACTACAATTTACCTAATCAAAGAACATCTTTGTACATCTTTATCTTTAACAAAAAAACAATGTGTGTGTGTGTGTTTAATCATCCAAAATCATCAGTCACAGTGCTGACAAAGGAATGCTGGTAACCCTGGACAGCAAAACAAAATATAGCCTTAATCAACAAATTTACTTTAACTCAAAATAAGTTTTTCTCAATGTATTTTTTATGTGCCCGTTTTCATCCTTGACAACCACAATGTGGGATCAGGGTGGAAGTAGGTAAATACTGAAATGATCACATGACTCCTGTCTTATCCCTAATTGGTGGAATTGGTGGCGTTACAACTCTCCCCATGTTGTAACCATACCTGGTCTCTCTACTACTAGTCACTCTACTGCATAATATAACATATAACAATAATGTTTTACTTAATGCTGCTTTTTTTACAGACATTCCTGTGATGACTGTGCTGCAGAACACAGTGGCCGTGCTGCCCTGTCCTCATAAGAAGGGAAATGTGAAATGGAGCTGCTTCATTGGTGGTGAAATGGTGACTCTTCTCACTATTGATAATGGCAAAGAGAAAAAAAACAACCGCTATGGTTCCCAGGCAGATAATTCGCTGTTGATAACAAACGTTCAGTCTACTGATTCTAGAATATATTTGTGTAATAGAAGTCAAGTATATCTGAACGTGACAACAGATCGCAACATGGTGGGTCCCAATGTATCAGTCACACCAGGAAAAGATGGACTGGGTTTTTGCTCTGGATCAGGCCTGAGGGGAGAAGCTGCAAACGCACAGAAGCAGCGACCTTTGGAAAGTACCTGTTGGTTTCCTCGTGGGTTCTGCATTGGTGCTTTTGACCATCTTAACCCTGAGATTCTGGTCGAAAAAGATAGCAGGGACAAACGCCAACGTGGGTGACAGTATGACTGAGGTGATTTATGAGGAGACACCACCAGATAATAATCAGTACAGCACCGTTAACAAGCTAAAGACTGGAGGACGCAGCTATGAGGAGTGTGTGTACTACTTTGTCCAAAATCCACCACAGACCACAGGAAATTAGTAGCTCTCAGCATCAGCGCGGGCTGATAGATGCATTTAGAAACTGTTCACACTTAGGCCTAAGTCACAGGATGCATCACAAAGTTGCATAAAGTCTTAAAATAGTTCTTCATCTTTATTGCCCATTAGGTTATTAGAGGCTTCGTCGAAGGTTTCTGGTGCAGATAGTAAAGATTCACATGGTGACTCTCTCCTCCGGGATCAAACTGGAGTTTGTTTTCATCCACTGACAAAACATTATTAAATTTGTTTAAGTTTATTTCAGTTAAGTAAATAAAACTTGTTTGTGTTAGGCTATGTCAAATCAAATAGAAAAGATTAAAAGTCATTACGATTTTATTCCCCTCAAAAATGCCATTTTATCTCATACCAGCAGCTTGTAGAAGCAGCAGCCGGCAGCTCTTTCAAACTTCGCCACACTTTGTTTTCCCGGCTTTATTGCCTCCAACATAAATACAGTCACTGGAAGATGAAGACGGGGTTTTTGGATTAAAGAGCAGCAGACCACGATCCACCCGGCCCAAACAACCGGACCAGGCACCAAGGCGGGTGCAGTGATCACTCAGAGGAGAGGAAAGAGAGCCTGGGGCCGTTTTACAGAAACTTCCTAACCTGCAGCCCCCCTCCAGTGTATTTCGACATTTCTATGAAATTTCATATTTTCCTGAGTCATTTCCTTACAATGTTGATTACCCACATAGTTCGCCAAATATTTTTGGACAAATAGCTTTATTTTGTGCTCAAAAGTTGCAAACGTTGCTTAGTTGCTACAACGGGGTGGTGAGGTATGACTATAATAATTCCATAAGTCATACGTCATTCTCCAAGCTGGCGCAGGCGCACTGTCATGCCTTGTTAAAAAACTGTCACGCCTCTTTGTCAGAGCATCAAATAACCCTAGCCCAGATAAACATCGTTGTGAGCTAGCTAACCAGTTTATCATGTAATTTACTTAGAACTTACAGTCGGTATGTCTCTCTGTCTGATTGTTGGTTGTTTTCTAGTTTAGTGAGCTAAGTTAACTAAGTTGTAGTTAGCCAGGTGTAGTTAGCTAGCATAGTTATTGCAGAAAGTTAGCTAACAGAGGGTCTTCATTTTATTTACAGTGTAGTGATGTTAACACAGCATATCCTTAGCGAACACTCCAGCCGGTCAGTTTCTGGTTGTCATGCTGATGTATCACGTTCGACTATTAACCACACCCCCATTCTCTGTTTGAGAAAGAACGTTAACCAAAAACGGCAGTTAAAGAGGTCATATTATGCTCATTTTCAGGTTCAAAATCTTAATTAGGGGTTGTCCCAGAACAGGTTTACATGGTTTAATTTTCAAAAAAACACCATATTTTTCCTCATACTGCACATTGCTGCAGCTTCTCTGTACAGCCTGTCTGTTGTACGCTCCGCTCTTGAGCTACAGAGTGATGCATCTTACTTGTACCATATCTTTGTTGGGAGTTGCACATGCGCAGTTCCTAGGAAAGGACTACTAGCCAATCAGAAGCAGAGAAGGGCGGGTCGTAAGAAACAAGGTAGTGTGATCCAAAACAAACCCTCTTCAGCCGGTAACCATGGCTTCGGTTCTGCTGTACATGTTTGAACCCGAGTCAGATCCAGAAACAACGGCAGAACAACCAGAACCAGCTTCACAACCTAGACTGGAGCAAGACGTTTCTGAGTGGTAAGTTATTAATCTGTAACACATTTATATTTCATACGTAATGTTTTAACCGAGCTCTGCCTCTACCTGACAGTATCAGCTTAATGTTTACTGACTGCCTGGAGGTTGTCTAATGTTTTTTTAATTTCATATTTAGGTGAACTTGTGAAAACTGCTCGACAATGCCCACCGACGTTGAAAACGTCTGTTGCCAAGAAATACGAAAGATAGTTATTATAATCAGTTACAACGTTGTGTAGCAAACAGTAGCACACACCTAAGGTTATAGGCAATGTTGTTACATTGCCGTGTTTATTTCAAATATAATTTGCAACCAATAAAGCATACTTACAGGTTGAGGTTGTGAATGTCCAGGCCCAAACAGAGTCGGAGTTGCATCGTCTTTTAGGACTAAACGTTGCACAAATCCGGAGTTGAACTGTTGCCGGGTTCAGGAAGCAGTCCTCGGTGAAATGGTTAGAGCACAAGATGAGGTACTGGTTGTACTTCTGAGGAATCGTGTTAAAAATGAATTTCAACCACTGATTCTTCACAAAGTCATTCTTTGGAAGGTGATGCATAGATGTTTGCCGCTCACAACGGAAAATACAGCGTCTCGACATGGCGATTCCACTTACTAAAGTCAAAGGGCCTCCGCTCAGACTAGCTTGGTTTGAGGGCGTTCCTGACCCCGCTAGCTGCTCGGCAAGCTTTATGACGTGTTTTCACTGTGACGTCACAAGTAAAGGAAGTGAAGGGCTGGACTACAAACGAGCTGTTTTCAAGCGGTTCAGAGCAGAGCTTTCTGTGGGAGATGGGAACTCCCTTTGGGCTTTTTCACTTTGCAAACCTGTTACATGCACAAAAAAGAGATATAACTCAATAAAGGCCAAAAAGCAGAATACCACCTCTTTAAAACTGGCTGGGGGTGGGGGGGCTTTAAGTCACAGGATGCATCGTAGAGTTGCACAAAGTCTTAAAATAGTTCTTTGTCTTTATTGCCCATTAGGTTAGTAGTTAGAGGCTTCATCGAATTGAATCACCTCTGGTGAAGATACTTGAGATCTTCATGGTGACTCTCCTTGTTTTCATCCACTGACTGTTGTTTTTATTTTTTATTAAACATTATTAAACATGTTTATGGAAGCTCATTTCTGTTCATTAAGCCTGGATAACACATTTATTTTAGTTTTTTATCAAAATTAGGAGCTAAAAGTAATTGTGACTTTTTATCTTGTAATTGTCCACTGTTGTCTGTGTTCTGGGGGCAAATTTTATGTGAAATCGGTCCAACTCAGTTTCCCAAACTCACCCAGCCTCTCCACACATGAACAATACATGGCTCCTGGTGCCAGACAAACAAAGGTACAGATATTAATCAATGTCCGCTGGTAAAAAGTGTGGAGGGACTCAGTGTTTCGTGGTGATGCATCGGCCCCTGCAAGTTTTATGTTTCTTACTTTTGTTGTGCAGCTTAAGAATCAAGTTTAAACTGTGTTGACAAGTTCAGAGTTGCCTGCAACGGACGCGCCGCACTGCTTACAATATAAACACAGCAGAGCATTCCCCTCGTTCTACCTCCTGCCCGCATCTTTGTTAAATCTACATCTGTCCACTGCAGAGGCCCTATCCACAACCTGGAGGAGGTGTGTAGTAGTAAATGTGTGTAGTAGTATAATATTAAAACAATAAATGAAAAGTGCAATGTTCATTTATAATATACTATTAGTATAATATTAATATATTGTTACTATATTGATTATAATTTCATATATTAGTATACTATATACCTTACCACTACCATAATATTATTCCAGTTACTGCTGTTTCATTTTTGTTGGTAGTTTTTAGTCATTAAATGCTTGTGCAAGAAAAATATTCTACGTGGTGGTTGAGTTAGTCTGTAACTTAATGCTAAGTGGTAATTCATCAATAATCAGAACCATTTATGCAGAACAAGTTCAACATTTAGAAGTTTGTGTAGCACATTTGTAGCATTCTCAATGTCTCTCCCCATCCAAGCTGTGATTGATTAGTTGATGAACAATGACACATTGACTCAGTGAAAATTTTAAGTTTAAGAGATTATGGTAGGTTGCAGTATTAACACTGTGCTCGCACTTAAGGGGCATTTTGCGAGGGAAATGGTGGCACTGTAGAGCTGCTTATGATCACCGTACACTCACACAAAGGTAACCACGTGGAATTTTAACTTGCACCCTTTGAAAAAAATAGTCTGGAGCCCTGCAGTTCTTACTAACAGCCAGTAACACAAGTTTCATTTCTACCCACAACCTCATTACTCATAACTTCCTGATAAAAGAAAGTATTTTAGTCCTCTGTCAATTAAGGTTCACAGGCTGCAGAGATGTGGCTCTACCTCTGCTTTCTCCTCGCAGGATGCTTCTGCCACAGCTTTGCTGGTAAGAAAATCTCATTTGTTAGCTTTTTATCAACGTCACGTTTATAAATCTTGGGTTTTTTAAATACATTTTTGTACCAATACTCGCTCATTCCAAAGATCCTACACACTAAAAATATTAAATGAATTGCCTCAACATTCCCCCATTGGGTTCAATAAAGTCTCAAGTATTAAGTTATAACATTAGTGGTCCATTTGGGTTATTCTCATAAACACAGTAAATATGAATCTACTAAAAGGCACCGCACTGCTGTACTGAGAGATGAAATTTATGGACCTCAACTTTTTACAATAACTAGCCTACATTCAAAATTATATGACAAAAAGTTATTTAGACTTTTTATTACATAACATTTTAACAAATTTTATGGTACTTGTAATTTTTCCAAACATCAAGTTCCATCCACTGTTATTGTACAAAATGACTGGCCAACCTCTTTCACAATGTGCTGACCAGGGTTCGAGTTACGTGAGTTTTCAACTCCCTATGGAGGTCTGAGCTGGCCATGGAAGCAGTAAAAATCATGCATCTGTGGGAGTCTCTAATTCATTCATCAGCAACCATTATTTAGAATCACAAATTACGTATTTGTCATTGTAATTAGTACTACTATTATTTACATTAAACAAGATAAACAGACTTAAATGAACATGTTTTCCTAATGAACTACACTGCGCATCGCATTACTGACAGGATGGCTGCACTTCTCCACCATCAGCCACTATCATGCGCACAGTATTACTCTGTATTGACTGCAGGTTATTTGTTTAGTATTACAGTGCCTTGCGAAAGTATTCGGCCCCCTTGAACTTTTCGACCTTTTGCCACATTGCAGGCTTCAAACATAAAGATATAAAACTGTAATTTTTTGTGAAGAATCAACAACAAGTGGGACACAATTATGAAGTGGAACGAAATTTATTGGATATTTCAAACCTTTTTAACAAATAAAAAACTGAAAATTTGGGCGTGCAAAATTATTCGGCCCCTTTACTTTCAGTGCAGCAAACTCTCTCCAGAAGTTCAGTGAGGATCTCTGAATGATCCAATGTTGACCTAAATGACTAATGATGATAAATAGAATCCACCTGTGTGAAATCAAGTCTCCGTATAAATGCACCTGCTCTGTGATAGTCTCAGAGGTCCGTTTAAAGCGCAGAGAGCATCATGAAGAACAAGGAACACGCCAGGCAGGTCCGAGATACTGTTGTGGAGAAATTTAAAGCCGGATTTGGATACAAAAAGATTTCCCAAGCTTTAAACATCCCAAGGAGCACTGTGCAAGCGATAATATTGAAATGGAAGGAGTTTCAGACCACTGCAAATCTACGAAGACCCGGCCGTCCCTCTAAACTTTCAGCTCATACAAGGAGAAGATCAGAGATGCAGCCAAGAGGCCCATGATCACTCTGGATGAACTGCAGAGATCTACAGCTGAGGTGGGAGACTCTGTCCATAGGACAACAATCAGTCGTATACTGCACAAATCTGGCCTTTATGGAAGAGTGGCAAGAAGAAAGCCATTTCTTAAAGATATCCATAAAAAGTCTTGTTTAAAGTTTGCCACAAGCCACCTGGGAGACACACCAAACATGTGGAAGAAGGTGCTCTGGTCAGATGAAACCAAACTCGAACTTTTTGGCAACAATGCAAAAGGTTATGTTTGGCGTAAAGGCAACACAGCTCATCACCCTGAACACACCATCCCCACTGTCAAACATGGTTGTGGCAGCATCATGGTTTGGGCCTGCTTTTCTTCAGCAGGGACAGGGAAGATGGTTAAAATTGATGGGAAGATGGATGGAGCCAAATACAGGACCATTCTGGAAGAAAACCTGATGGAGTCTGCAAAAGACCTGAGACTGGGGACGGAGATTTGTCTTCCAACAAGACAATGATCCAAAACATAAAGCAAAATCTACACTGGAATGGTTCACAAATAAACATATCCAGGTGTTAGAATGGCCAAGTCCAAGTCCAGACCTGAATCCAATCGAGAATCTGTGGAAAGAACTGAAAACTGCTGTTCACAAACGCTCTCCATCCAACCTCACTGAGCTCGAGCTGTTTTGCAAGGAGGAATGGGCAAAAATTTCAGTCTCTCGATGTGCAAAACTGATAGAGACGTACCCCAAGCGACTTACAGCTGTAATCGCAGCAAAAGGTGGCGCTACAAAGTATTAACTTAAGGGGGCTGAATAATTTTGCACGCCCAATTTTTCAGTTTTTTATTTGTTAAAAAAGTTTGAAATATCCAATAAATTTCGTTCCACTTCATGATTGTGTCCCACTTGTTGTTGGTTCTTCACAAATATTACAGTTTTATATGTTTATGTTTGAAGCCTGCAATGTGGCAAAAGGTCGAAAAGTTCAAGGGGGCCGAATACTTTCACAAGGCACTGTATTAGCGTTTTTGATGCATCTTCCAATTAGTACAGCACTACAATTGATAATGTGCTACTGTGTGCTGGCGACAAACAGTGCATAAAATAACACTATTACCATAAGGGGCGGAATTGCAGTCTCTCCTTGAGCAAAAGTCTTTGATGGTATTTTTCAGGCGATTAAGAATTAATGAATTGTCTAGTGTGAGTTGGTCTACACCCTGTTGAATGTCACCTAGCATTGTGTGGGATAGTCAGCGCTATCTGGGCCAACAGCATCTTTCTGCAAAGTATACTCAAATAAGGAGAAAAATAAGCCGCATCCATCTTCAGCCATACTATCAAAAGCATTATGGTTACCTCTAAATGGTAGCTGGTTCGCTGCAAGGAACTTGGCAACATCAATTATTGACAAGTAGCATCTATTGCGTTTCAAATGTTCTGCATTGATTAAAGTTGCCATTTCCTTACGGGTCAAAAATATTAAAAAATTATTATAAAAATCATACAACACTTTTAACCACAGGTGGCGGCTTGTTCGTCCAATGCGTGCGGGCAGTAGTGTTACCTAGGGCAGTCCAGGCCTCCTAATGCCCGCCCATGGCGCCGAGACTGATGTTGTGAAGCAAAGAAACCAATGAACTACAACATATTAATGATAAACAGAAAAGTTTACCAAGAATGTTTTACTTAATGCTGCTTTTTTTACAGACATTCCTGTAACGACTGTGCTGCAGAACACAGTGGCCGTGCTGCCCTGTCCTCATAAGAAGGGAAATGTGGAATGGAGCTGCTTCTTTGGTGGTAAAAAGGTGACTCTTGTCACTATCAAAAATGGTGAAGAGAAAAAAACTAACAAACGCTATGGTTCCCTGGCAGATAATTCGCTGGTAATAACAAATGTTCAGTCTACTGACTCTGTAACATATCTCTGTAATAGAAGTAAAATAAATCTGAATGTAAAAAAAGATCCCAACATCATGGATCCCAATGCTGGAAATGCATCAGTCACACCAAGAAACCATGGACTGGGTTTTTGCTCTGGACCAGGCCTGAGGGAAGAAACTGCAGACGCAGAGAAGCAGCGATCCTCTGACCTTTGGAAAGTACCTGTTGGTGTCGTCGTGGGTGCTGCATTTGTGCTTTTGTTCGCCTTTACCCTGAGATTCTGCTCACAAAAGAAAGCAGGGACAAACGCCAACTTGGGCGAAACTGTCACTGAGGGGATTTATGAGGAGATGAGGAGCAGCCAAGGGAATCTGATGTTGAAAGTCCAAACTACTGGACAAGCATCAGTGAAACAACAAGCAGCTCCACACCACCAACATAATGATTTTTTGTACAGCACCGTGAACAAGCTAAAAACTGAAGGACGCAGCAATGACGAGTGTGTACTACTTTTGTCCAAACTCCCCCACAGACCACAGGAAATGTTTAGTTTTCAGCATATCTGTCACACCTGCTCAGATAAATTTAGAACCTGTTCACACCTAATTCTGTACACAGGATGCATCACAGAGTTGCACAGTCTTTTAAAAAAAATAGTTCTTTGTTTTTGTGGCCCATTAGGTTTTTAGTTAGAGGTTTCATCGAAGGTTTCTGGTGCAGATCCTACAGATCTACACAGTGACTTACTCCTCTGAGATCAAACTGTGGACTGCATGTAACTTATATTTTTATCCTGGAGTTTGTTTTCATCCACTGACTTTATTTTTTATGAAACATTATTAAACATGTTTATGGAAGCCGTCGTTGAACAGAGGAGGGGGTCTACGCCACCACTTATCCCCCCAATGCTGCCCTTTCATCACTTCCCAGGAAACTTAACAAGCATCACCTCTTGGCCTCAGGTGAAGATACCAACGATGGTCGTTCAGACTTGGCCTGTGTTGGTTCTAATGACCATAACGACTGTCTTTACAACAGCCAGGAGCACTAACAAACCAGCGGTATTGATGATCCTAGCTAACGATCCCACAGAGGTTAAATAGCCGAGATTCCACCTGTCAGTCAGAACTGAAAGCAAGGCAAGTTTATTTGTATCGCACATTTCAACAACAAGGCAATTCAAAGTGCTTTACATAAACCATAAAAACAAAGGGAAATTTAAAAAAAACACGCATTAACATATACATTTTAAAAGGGTGGAATAGATATAACTGAAGAAGTCTCTTGGATGAGGGACGAAACGTCTTCTAGTATCTTCAACCAAGTCCAGTTGCCCTTGACTTAAACCTTCTTTGGGTAACTATGACCTGGATGACTGAGACCCTTCAGAGACACCCATTTCTCTTCAGTAAAATAAAAACATTTTTTGACTGGATCATAAAATTATTTCATGTTATGTTTTAATTATGATATAAAAAAATCATAAATACATTTTATCTCAAATGTTACTTTCATCTTATATTACTTTTATCTCATAATTGAATTTTTATCTCTTATTGTGAGCTTTTATCTTATAATTATTATTTTTATCTCATCATTTTGACATTTTATCTCATAATTGAATTTTTATCTCTTATTGTGAGCTTTTATCTTATAATTATTATTTTTTATCTCATCATTTTGACATTTTATCTCATAATTGTGAATTTTAATCTCATAATTATCTAATTATTTGGTTCATGAGCCTTTTCACAAATTGTGTCATTCTGATTAAAATGCTTAAAATGTCTTTGCTTACTTCTCTGTAGTCTTTTAGGAAGGCAGTTAAGAATTTGTGGGAATGTCCCTCCTATTAGTTTAATCAAAGAGCTTCAGCTAATAGATAATTTGCACTTACTCCCCTGTCACTTTTGCATATATTATTGTCCTTAGTTTGCACCAAAGAAACGGGTCCACTCATTGATCCAGATGTTTGTACTGTTCAGTGTCTTTGTGTGTTAATCTAAACCAATAAAAGTGCTGTATTAAAATGTGTGTGAGGATGTTCCTGAGGGTATCAGCAGCTAAACTGTTGTTAATGTTGTAGATTTTATTACAATACATTAAGACCAATAAGCTAAATAATGCACATCTAAAAGAAACCTGTAAAGCATGAGTTTTAATTCTCTCATTGTCATGCTCTGTTGTATTCCTTTTTTCATCACAATGTATTATATTTTGTGTCTCTATTTTATTTGTTCTAACTTTCTCGCAGTATCCTGCACACGGTGTCTTTATCCTACTCACCGGGACCAAGAGTGGACAAAGTACACAAGTAAAAGTACAGATACCCCTGCAAAATATTACTCCACTAAAAGTCTTCAAGTTAAATTCCTTCTTGAGTCAAAGTAAAAATTTACCTGCTTTTAAAAATACTTACGGTTAGATTAACGACGGTGAAGGAATTTTTATTATCCTCAAGGAGTAAATCTTTTGAGGTAGCAGTAGCAAATAAATCCCAACAACAAAACAATGATACACACAACCACTCAGTAAAAGCAGTCGTAGCAACAAGTAGGCTACTAAACAATAATGAAATAAAGTAAATCCTGTGCAATAAATACTACAATGTCCTAATAAATATAAAAAGTCTAACTCTTGAGCACCGACGCCCCCGGTACAGTATTTTGTCACCCTATGCATGCTACACACCTCTGTGAAGCTAGGAGGCTCAGCTAGAAGCTCAAAGCAGCCATTTATATCCAGATCAAACACCAAGCATTTAAATTAACTTATATCACAACATCCTAACTTATATCGGTTCATCCTAAAATACTCCTTGAACCAACCATCATTAAGACAAAACTCCTGGACCAGGTGGTGGGTCCTACCAGCCGTGTCTCCCCTTTCTCAGGGTCTCATGTACCAACACAGATCTCTGTTTCCCTGTCTTCTGTGTCTTTGTTCACCTCTCACCCTCAAACAATGCAAGAGTGATCAATTTTCTGCAAATGTGACAGGACAGCTGATCCGGTGGTTGCCTAGCAACATAAAAAAAAAAAGTGCACTGCTTTCCAAATTCAACCAAAAAAGGCATTGCTGTTGCCGTTTTCAAACCTGTAAAACGCTTGAAATATTTATCAATATTTCAATGTTTTGGAAGCTTTATGTTATTTGCAACCTGGTTGTATGGAGAGAAATAGTGTTTTGAAGATAACTCCCAATAAAAGTGAACATATAAACAGTAAATATGGCCAAAACACGGACATTCGCCCGGTATGTTTTTGAAATTTGTGTAATAACTGTTTAGTTGTAGTTTATTTTTCATCAAATTTACAGTTCAGTTGTATTCTATGTGTATTTGAAGATATTCAGTTGCATTATAATGAGTTGGATGTAGTTTTGATGGTGATTTTGCTATTACATTATAGATTTGGTAGTAAGATGGTGCCAGAGGAGGATGGAAGCCTCTGGATTACGGTCTGTATGCTTTTTGTGTTTTTGATTATTAACTCTGTTTTCTGCCGTCCCTCTCTGGTAACATTTACCAGAGAAGAGCTCTTAAATATTGGACTTTCAACTACTTATACTATTCCACTGCTCCTTATCGACCCTAGAACTTTCTCATAGTTGTTAGCTGGAGAAGCAGCAGCTCTGGTCGCTGTTTACATTCCACCTCAGGCCTGTGTGTGTGAAAAGATGGACCAACGAGAGAAAGCTGGAGGTACAGGCCTGCATTGACTGGAGTGTTTTTGAGGCTGCAGCCACTGACCTGGACGAACTAATTGACACTGTGACATCCTACATCAGTTTTTGTGAGGACATGTGTATATGCTGACTAAAAACTTCCTCACATACAACAACCAAAAACCCTGGTTCACAGCGAAACTCAGGCAGCTTCGTCAGACCAAGGAGGAGGCCTTCAGAAGTGGGAACAGAGTCCTGTACTACCAGGCCAGGAACACTCTGACTAAAGAGGTCAAAGCAGCAAAGAGGAGCTATGCTGAAAAGCTACATAACAGCTTTGCAGCCAACGACCCTGCTTCAGTGTGGAGAGGCCTGCCAACATTTACTAACTACAGGAGACCATCCCCCAACACTGCTGGTACTCAACGACTGGCTGATGAGCTGAACAGAGAGACAGGCAGGCAGAGAGACAGCAGAGGAGAACAGAGAGACAGGCAGGCAAAGGGCTTCTGGAATAACAGACAGAATATAGATTACTGAACACTAAACACACACATCAAAATTAGATGTAACAGATCAGAATAATATAAATAAAAAACTAATCCAGACACAAGCAGACAGATCACAAATAAACTACAACCAACAGGGAAAACAGACTGAAGCTAGGATTAAACAGAACACAGAGCAGATAAAGCCAAAATAATGCAAACACAGAACAAGGACTAAATACAAAGACTTTAACTAAGACGCAGAGCTAAAATGCAGGGTTAAACCTAAGATTCAAGACAGACAGTTACAAATGAGCAAAACTGAATGTGCCAATGAACAATGCAATAAACAAGGCTATACAGAGAACACAAGACCAGGAACAAAACTGGACCAACTATTACATAGACCGGGGTAGGGAACAGAGACAGAACCAACCATGAAACAGGACAACACTCAACAACACCACTAAATACCAGCTGACAGATCATAACAGATAAAACATGGAAACAGACTGAAACCAGAGACACAGAACAAACTGACATAAAACAACCAAACAAGGAGAGGTAAATAACTTTCAGAGCTTTTCATACTGTTCATATTGTCATATACAGTATACCAAATCCACCTACCTCAAGTAAATAACTCCTGCACAATAATACTTATTTATTCCAGCATCCTTTGCGCTATGCTCCATCGCACTGTGTACATGTATGCATGTATGTGTACCTGTATATCACATCCACCTCCGACATGTACATAATTAATGATAATAATAATTTTACTCCTGCATCCTTTGCACTCTGCTCACTGCACTATTTATCAATATGTCTATTTTGTTTTTTGTTCATAGTGTGTATATTTGTGTTGTCTACACTGTCTGATTTGATTTTATTATTGTGTTATTCTATGAGTAAGCCCCTTGAAAGCAATGTACAATTCTGAGTCAAATTCCTCGTATGTGTACACACACCTGGCAAATAAAGCTGATTCTGATTCTGAATTTATACCAGGCGAGGATGAAAATGTATTTTCCTTTATTTATTATCTCCATTTACTCTTGGAAAAATAAATAAGTTAGGTTGATTCATATTCTGACCTCTCAAAATAATTATGCATCTTGGCTTAATGGTTGACGAGTTATTACTGATTCATTTTGGGTTTGTTATTTTAGGCAGTTTTCCTGGAAATAGGGACAAATAGATGGTAGTCCCCAAATGCATACCATGTAAAATCTCACTTAAATATCAACAGTAAAAAGTACTATTAACATGGTTCTTTTTTTCAGGTGCTGCTGACATGACATACATAATTTAAAAATACACTTTCATGACATTCATTATAAACAGGTTGCCCTTTCAATACTAATTCAAGTTGCCCAGTTATAAGTGTGTATTTACAGTATGTGTGTGTCAGTGGTGGATGAAGTATTCAGATTCTTTTCTTAAGTAAAAAGTACTAATACCTCACTGTAAAATACTCTGTTACAAGTAAAACTGCTGTATTGAAAATGTTACTAAAGTAAAAGTATGTAAACATAATCAGAAAAATGTGCTAAAGGTATCAAAAGTAAAAGTAAAAGTACTCACAGCAGAAAGAAAAATGCCTGTTGCTGTTGTACTATTCTACACTTTATTAGGTACACCTTGCTAGTACTGGGTTGGACCCCCCTTTTGCCTTCAGAACTGACTTAATTCTTCGTGGCATATTTACATCAAGGTGTTGGAAACATCCCTCAGAGACTTTCCATATTGACATGATAGCATCACACAGATTTGTCGGCTG